CACTTGCTTTCATATATACTATGTGTTACTTCATGCTTATTTGATATCTCTTATTTTATTTTTTCTTTTGAACTAATTTATGCCTCTAATAGAGCATACTCCATGCCACAATCGATGAAGAAAGCGATGCTTTTGTGTTTATTAATCAACACTATCACTGTGATAGTTCTCCAATGACAAAGTGAACTACCAACTTTCGGATTAAATTAAAGTAAAAATCCACGATAGTGAGCCATACAAAACCCACTTGACTGACTGATAGGGACATGTCCAATATTAGGCTTGAAAGTTGGCCTCCAACCTGTGATGCAGTGCCTCCAGGCCATCGTCTTTACTTAGAAATAACGTATACGTATTCGTCTACGATGCATGAATACTGACATCGGACACGACACGACATGTCGACAAGTTAATTCTAAAAAATGATATATTTCGACACGTTGGACACGTTTTGATATTAAATAATATTTTTAATATATATAATATAATTTATATTTAACACATATAATAGCCTATAATAAGTCATATAAAATTTCATAACATAAATATAAACAAAAATAAATTTTCGTATATTGTTAATTTTTCATGTCAAATTTTATAACAGAAAAAAATTAATTTATAAATATTTTTTTTTAGTTAATAAAATAAAATTAAGACTAAAAAAAAAAAAAACGTGTCGGAGCGTGTCGAAACATTGACCACGTGTCGAATCGGAAAAACGTGTCGAAACGTGCCGAAGAATTAATCACGTGTCACAAAATGTTGACCGCGTGTCAGACGGGTGTCGGAGCGTGCTCGTGTCGGACAAGTGTCCGACACGCACATTTTTTATAAATGCACGAGTCTGTGCTTTAGAGGTATTAATGATTTCGGTATATATACTTTTTCCCAATTAAATTTGGGGTTCGTTTTTTCTGTATTTAATATAAATAAGTTATTTATATTGAATCCAAAATGACTTCATTTTAATATGGAAATTAAGATATTTTTATAAGAAAAATGATCCGTTTATAATTTTTTTTTACAAATTACACTAAGTATGATCGGTCATACACTCTTGATTAAAATATGATTGGTCATACTTAGCGTAGTTTGTAAGAGTTTGTAAACAAAAAGTTTGTAAATATAACATTCCCCTTTTTATAATTATAATTTATTTAAGGATTATAATAATTTTTTTATTATAATATTTTAATTTTTAAACTTAAAACGACATCGTTTTAAGAGTGAATGTAAATAACTTATCTACATTCAATATAGAAACATTGAAGTCTTAAACTAGTATTCGAAGTAAATTGTAAATTATTCATTAATTATATTAGATAAATTTCTAACATGTATAATAAAAACAAACAACAAACAATAAACAACTCATTTTAGGTATTGAACTGGTCCGTGATTCTGAATGGCTTATGTGGGTCTCGTTTGGTATCTGTGCTCTTGGAACTGTGGTTGATGGGGCAGAATGGGATGATGTTTCTTACAAAATGCACTATACGTTCAGGTGCTTTCTGTTAGCGGGTCCACGGGAAGATTGTAGCACGGTATAAAGAATCACTTTAATCCAAAATAGTAAGATGTTGGATAATGATTTTTTTAATAATTTATATTATTTTTTAACACACTCTCTCACACAAGAGTCTTTTTGGTTTGAAGCATGAATATTGCATACGCCGAATGTTTTTGGTTTTATCTTATGTTTATTAAATTTCACAAGTAGAGAGCAGTGTAGATCGAATTCGTAACCTTATGGTCACTTAAACTCTGATATCATGTAAAGAACCAATTCAATCCAAAATCTTAAAGTGTTGGAAGAAAGCCTTTTTAACAGTGTATATTATTCTCTAACACATGGGACCACCACCAATGGGTTAAGGCACCGTAACAAGTGGGTTCGATATCACATTTCAACCCAAAGCCTTAAGGTTTTGGGTTGTGACATGATGTTGGACCTACTTAGTGTGGTTAGCCTAGCTTAGCACATTGGTGGTAGTCTCCCACCACGAGCTCCTCCTGGAACCTCCAAACAGTGGTATCAGAGCCAGGTTGAGCTCAGGCTAGCCTGGTGATGGGCTAGGAGGTTGGTTGAGTACTTTGGGCTTAGGTACTCAGTTGAGAGGGAGCATATCAATGATGAGTTTCACACTTGAGGAGGAGATTGTTGAAATATTCAAGTGTGATGAGTCTCACATTGGTTGATAATGGGCTAAGTAAAGAGTATATAAGTTAGAGGACCCATCAACCTAATGCCTTAAAGTTTTGGGTTGAAATGTTGTGTCGAACCCATTAATTACATTTGGCATAGCCTTAATCCATTGATGATGATTTCTTGCCACGATCTTCCTCTGGACCTGCTTGACACTTCCATCGATAGATGTTTCTAGGGCACGTATATAGATCCGGACTCGTGCCCAACACTAATATTGGACCTAAGAGTAATCCAGAAGAGATATGGTATCTTTATACGGATTATATCAACTTCCTTGGTACCCTTAAATGATTTTTTCTTTAGATTTTTTGTTAGTCTATTCTTATTTTCTTCTAAAGTTAAGGATGTACACTAAATGATGGTAGCTCAGTTAATGTTAAATAATTGAGCAGATGAAAATGAGAGTATGTGTTCGATCTTCTTCAGTATCGTCCTTGAAAAAGATTTAAAGTCTTAATCTCGGGACTCACCTTAAATCGAATTAATCGCGAAGCGATAAACCGATTAGAATATTTTCAATAAAAAAAAAAGTTAAAGGATGTACGTAGCTTAGGTGATAATGGTAAAGTGAAAATAAACTCTTTAATATACTGCGGAAAGAAAATATAATCATATTATTTTTCTTTAAAAGATTTCATATCTCTATTGAAATTGAGTTTTAAACCTCTTCTTAGAAGCCAAACGTGTATTTAGTGTCACAATTCTAGATTGGGTCATCAAAGATTTTTCATAGTTCTACATGGGTTTTCGTGCTGTCTTTGTTGAAAGACAGTGTCTAGGCCACAATGTAAATTGGAAGTGAAGAAAGTGAAGACGCAACCAAGCCAAGACAAAGATGGAGACACTCGTACTCTCAAAATATTGGTTTTGAGAGTTTTCCCAAAAATAAGATATTGCTTTTGAGAGTGATGGATTGATGATTTGAAATGGGTGTAACCCATACCTAACCCCAATGATCATGACATGCAGGCTTTATTCTTAATTTCTTATTGAAGGAGGTAGATGTTTTTGGCATCGCGTATTTATTTTAAATTTGATTATTGATATGAAAACTCTTTGGGTTTTCATTTAATAACAAGAATGGATACAAAGATTTGTTAGGTTCATATTTTGCTGAAACAATTTTAAATAATGAATCCAAAGAAATTTTTTGTTTTCGTAGAAACCCGACTAAAATCGCATAGAAATTTCAATGATAAGTTTTACCATTAATTATAGACACGTTGGGAAAAAATATATTAAATATTCATTTGGTGCATTTACCATTAATTATAGACACGTTAGCAACATATTTTTTATTGTGTGCGTTTGCAACTTTGCATACACTATATACATTGATCAAACCGATCCACGACTCACTTGGCGCATGGGAGCTAAGCAGGTGGGGATGAGAGCATGTGTTCGAATCTCTTCAGTACCACCTTTGGGAGGGGTTTAAAGCCTTAATCCTGGACCGCCCCAAATCGGATTAGTTGCGAAGCAATGAACTGATTGGAATATTTCCAAAAAAAAAAAATGAGGTGTCAAATGATCCTACCTCACACATATATATATATATATATATATATAGTAAAATTATTTCTGCAGCCACTTTACGTACAACAACGACAGATATATGGTTATGATTCTCCGCATTTAATGATTTCATCTTTTGCATGGTTACGATTCCTAACATTTATTGCTTTCACGTATATATATGACAAGAATTTTATTGTTGCACGTACAGTAGCTGCAGAAATATATACCCCTATATATATATATAACACTAGTTATCGTCCTTGTGAAAGTGTTATATATATGGAAAAATATACTCTTATGTTGTAGGAGAGAATTTTTCTCTCCTACACATATATCGATTTACGTGTTACTTTTAATTCTTTTTCTATAGTGGATGGGTCCTACACATGAATATCTCTATTTCATGAGAGAGTTCTCTCTTATTGCATGAGATTAATATATATATATATATATATATATATATATATATATATATATATATATATATATATACACTAGTTACCGTCCTTGTGAAAGTGTTATATATATGGGAAAATATACTCTTATGTTGTAGGAGATAATTTTTCTGTCCTACATTACATCGATTATCGTGTTACTTTTTTATCATTTTTTATTTTTCTATGGTGGTTGGGTCTCGCACATGAATATCTCTATTGCATGAGAGAGTTTTCTCATATTGCATGAGATTAATAAAGCCCTATATATATATATATATATATATATATATATATATATATATATATAATATATAGGGGTTTACATTTATCATTTAACATGACATAATAAAATTTTCTACACACACAATATTTTGTGGGGCCCACACTTTTTGAAACAAAAAAAACCAAAAAAACTACGGCACGCAAAACGAATCTCTATAACATTACACAATCACTTTTCCTACAATATAACTCTTATAAAATCCATATATATATATATATGTATATATATATATATAACACTAGTTACCGTCCTTGTGAAAGTGTAATGAATAAAGACTAGGGCCGATTAAAGTATACATTTACACTTTTTTTTTTATGGAAAGAAAAAAAGTTAACATGTGAACGCGTAAAGCTCACGCGCGCGAGTTTTTCTTCTTCTGCTAGGGTTTTTTTTTTTTTTTCCTGTTTGAATCATGGAAATCGGAGTTGACATTCAACAATCTCGGGACGCTGGTGATGGATCTAAGGTCGGTAGGGGTAGGCACTTGACGGAAGAGGAGAACCCCTCTCCGACGGGGAAGAAGCCGAAATGAGAAGCTTCAGAGGATTTGGCTATGGATGAGGAGATGCATGAGGAAGCTGTGGACTCCTCAGGATGCCGTGACCATGTCCACACGAATCAGGATGTGAAGATGACGGAGGACAGTGGTGGGACTCGGGCTAGAGTTGTGTCCTATAAGGATAAGCTCCTGAAATTAAATGGCAACGGTGGCCAATCGGATAGTGAAGATGATAATTGGATCTTGTAACAGAAATGCGAGGAAGAGGAAGCAGACCGTGTGGAAGGGTTGGGCCTGTCTGGTGAGGAAGATCCTCTTTGTCCGAGATATACTTTCTCGGCAGAAGAGCACAAGCAAGATTGTGAAAAATGGAAGAAGGCTCTGATCACTAAGATGCTGGGCAAGCGGATCGAATTCAAGTTTCTGTTGGCCAGACTTCAGAGGATTTGGAATCTGGTGAGTTCTTACGAAGCTATTGATCTTGACAATGGTTTCCTGCTTTTGCGGTTCCAGGATGATGGTGACTACCGTCATGTCCTTGAGGAAGGACCCTGGATTGTCAATGACCATTATGTGGTCGTCCAGAGATGGAGGCCTCTCTTTGATCCCTATGACGATAGTGTCAAGAAACTGGCGGTTTGGGTAAGAATCCCAAGGTTACCAATTGAGTTGTACACCATTCGCCATCTATGGCGAATTGGCAACATATTTGGTCGCACTTTGAAAGTGGACAGGAACTCTCTTAGGAAGAGTGAGCTGGGTGATGATGTTATCACTGTACGAGCCAGATTTGCTAGAATCTGTGTCGAAGTAGATTTGAGGAGGACCTTTTTGCCTAAATTCTGGATAGGCAGTAAGGTGTATCAAGTGGGGTATGAAGGCCTTCACCTAATTTGTTTCAAATGTGGTGTGTACGGTCACAGGAAGGACCAGTGTCTTGTGGCCCAGGTTCCTTGTGCTCAACATGATCTTGAGATTCCTGTTCAGGAGGTTACTGAGGGTGTTGTACCTGAACCAAAGGTGATCAAAGCAGAGGAAGCTTTTGGGGATTTGATAGTGATTCAAAGACAACCTAAGAGCAAAAAATTAAAGGCTAAGCCCCTCTCTTCTGGTAAGGGTGTCATGGTGGAGCAGAAGCAGAACTCTGAGTTGGGAGATCCTAGTCCCAATGGGATGGTCACCAAGATTAGCCTGAATGGAGAGGTGGTTGGGATGGAGTCCATGGATTGTATGGGGCAAACCCCTATGGAGGTGGGCTGTTTGGCCAGTTCTGTGGTTGTTGAGGAGAACCTAGTGGCTGCCACCAATGTTGTAGTGGCTTCTTCAAGTCCCCAGAAGAAAGGTAGATCTCCTAAAAAGGATACTAAGAAATTTGTAGGGAAGGAGGGGAAGGACAGAGCTAAGACTGGAACTAAGTCCCAGAAGAAACAAGGAGTTGAGAATGTCCCTCCTATTTCTACTCCGGATGGATCAGCTAAAGGGCAAGCTAAGACCAAGTCTAGAAGTCTTGAAGTTCATACTCCTGGTGGGGGCATTGGTAATACTATTTCTAGGAAGGATTTTAATGGTGTTCTCTTCTCAGCTGTGTATACTAATTCTGGTTTGGTAGGGATTAAGGCTGAGGTTAACTCCTCTGGTGTGGTGGGTGGTGTATCTACCCATCAGGTTAATAGATGATTATGTGGGGTTGCCCTCTGTACAGTTTTTGTTCTTGTTTTTTCTTGGTTTTTCCATTCATATCAGTCTTAGCTTGGAATTGTAGGGGAGTGGGAAAAAGTAGTTTCCCTACTCTCATCAAAGATTTGAAATTTAGATTTAAAGTCAGTATTTTGGCTTTGTTTGAGGTTAAAGTTGGGGGCTCTAGAGGGGATGAGATTATTCGGAAGCTGGGGTTCCCCAACTTTTTTAGACAGGATCCAGTTGGATTTTCGGGAGGCATTTGGTTGCTGTGGGAGGGTAATTTGGTTGATGTGGAAGTTTTAGATTTCAATCATCAATATATTCATACCAGGGTGATTCACTTGGAGTCCCTGAATTCTGAGACTATGACTTTTGCGTATGGTAGTCCTAGGAGGTTGGAGAGAAAGTCCTTATGGTCTGATTTGGAGGCTTTTAGTGCTGGAATTTCAGGTCCTTGGTTGATCTTGGGTGATTTTAATGCTATTCTCAAGGCTTCTAAGAAGACAGGGGGTAAGGATCTTTGCTATAAGAGTATGGAAGAATTTAATCAATGCCTTATTGATTGTGAAATTAATGATCTGGGGCATAAAGGCCCTGACTATACTTGGAAAAGGGGTAGATTACATGAGAGGCTTGACAGAATGTGTTCCAATGAAGCCTAGAGCATAGCTTGGCCTGACAGATATGTGACCCATCTCCCTTTCTACAGTTCTGATCATAGGCCCATTCTCCTATGTAATGGGGGGCAATCTGCCCCTATGGTGCATACAAGGAGTTTCAAGTTCTTGGCAGCTTGGCTTACAGATAATAGATTCACTGAGTTGGTTAGAAGAAGCTTTGAAGGTAAGGTTAACTGGCTGGATGCTATGGACCAATTTGAGGCAGATGTGAGAGTTTGGCATCAGGGAGTGTTCAAGGAGCATAATAAGAAGAAAAACAGACTTTACTCTCGGCTGAATGGATTGGATTCTTTTAGATATGGTAGATTTGATCACAATACTGAATTACTGCAAAAGGATTTATGGAGGGAGCTTCAGGCCATCCTTGTTCGAGAAGAACTGATGTGGTTTCAAAGATCTAGGAATCAATGGTTAAAGTTTGGAGATAAAAACTCCAAGTTCTTTCATGCCTCAGCTGTTGCTAGGAGAAGACATAATAGGATTGTGGCTTTAAAAGATGATCAGGGTAACTGGATTTCAGATACTGACCTGCTGGTTAACATGGCCACTGATTTCTACCAGAATCTGTTCAAATCTGAGGGGGAGAGAGAGGGCAGCTTTCCTATACAGAATAAATTTCCAGAGTTATCCAACTCAGAGAAGAGACTACTGTCCTGTGCCCCTTCTAGAGAAGAAATTAGGAGAACTATGTTTTTGATGGGGAAGTTCAAAGCCCCTGGCCCGGATGGTTTGAGTGTTATTTTCATCCAAAGTCAGTGGGAGACTATTTGTGTGTCTATTTGTGAGCTGATTGAGGGAATCTTCTCTGACCCTAAGAAGGTGAGGAGTGTTAATGGGACCCTAATTTGCTTAATCCCTAAAAAGGAGAGTCCTGAAAATATGAAGGAGTTTAGGCCCATTAGTCTTTGCAATGTAGTGTAAAAGATCATTTCCAAAATCATCACTGGTAGACTGAAATTCCTTATGCCAAAGATTGTCTCCCCGAACCAATGTAGTTTCATTAGAGGTAGGCAAGGGAATGATAACATTTTCATAGTTCAGGAGATCATCCATTCTATGAGAACCAAGAAGGGAGGTAACGGGTGGATGCTGATTAAGGTTGATTTAGAGAAAGCCTATGATAGGCTGGATTGGGGTTTCATCCTAGAAACTTTAGTTGATATTAGGTTTCCTGAATCTTTTTGTCAGTTAATCTATCATTGTATCTCTTCAGTTTCAATGAAGTTGTTATGGAATGGGGTGGTCTCTAAGGATATATGTCCTGAAAGAGGTATTAGGCAAGGGGATCCCATCTCCCCTCTCCTATTTGTGCTGTGCATGGAAAAGTTGTCACAACTTATCCAGGTGGCTGTTGATTCCAAGGCCTGGAAGCCTATTTTACTAAGGAATAAGGCTCCTCCTATTTCGAATTTACTATTTGCAGATGACATCATTCTTTGTGCTAAAGCAAGCTTGGAGCAAGCACATGTTGTTAACTAGGTCCTAAGAATTTTCACTGATGCTTCAGGACAAAAGGTGAGCAAGGACAAAACGAAGATCTTCTTCTCGAAGAATGTTGGCTTTCAGAATTCCAAAGAAATCAGTGAAACTTTGGGGATGGGGATTACTACTGATCTGGGTAATTATTTGGGAGTCCCCATTCAGCATAAGAGAGTTTCCAAATGCACTTTCAAATATGTTTTGGATAGAATGCATGAAAGGTTATCTAATTGGAACCTGTCCTCTTTATCCTTGGCTGGAAGATCTGTTTTGGCCAAATCTGTGTTAGAAGCCTTACCTGCCTACTCCATGCAATCAGCATTGGTGCCTGTTAGTACTTGCAATGAAATAGAAAAGTTGACTAGGGATTTTATTTGGGGTTCTTCTCAAAGTAAAAGGAAAGTCCATCTTGTGAGTTGGAAAAGGTGTGCAGGCCTAAGAAGGAGGGTGGGCTAGGATTCAGGGACCAGAAGTTAGTCAATAAAGCCTTTTCTATGAAATTAGGTTTTGACATCTTGTCCAACAAGGAGAACCTTTGGGTGAAAGTGTTGAAAAGCAAGTATAAAGTTGAAGACTCTTTTAGGCCTGATATCAGAAAATGCAGGGATGGATCCAATACATGGAGAGGTATTCAGAAAGTTTGGGACAAGGTGCTGGATGGGTCCAGAGTAATCATTGGAGATGGGTCCAAGACTTCATTCTGGTTTGATAAATGGGTGCCTAAGGTTGGTAGACTGATTGACTATTCCTCTTCAAATGTTCCTGAAGCTTGCAGAGATTGGAAGGTGGCTGACTGCATCAGTAATGGCTATTGGGACTGGAACAGATTTAGTAGATACCTAAATAATGAGATCCTGGAAGCTATTAGGAAGATCACCCCTTCATATGGGATTGCTGGAGTAGACAGAGTAATTTGGTCCCTATCCAGCTCTGGTATGTTTTCTGTTAGTACAGCTTTTAGTTCTTTATCCAGTCCTGCACTGAGAACCAGTCCTTGGAATTGGGATCTCATTTGGAAATGGGAAGGTCCTCCTAGGATTCAATATTTTCTTTGGCTTCTAACATAGATTAAACTAATGACTAATGAAGAAAGAACTCACAGGCACATGACTTTGGTTAATTTATGTCCTAGATGCCAGAATTCAGTGGAGGATGCTGATCACATTTTTAGGAAATGCTGGTGGGTTCGGGAAGTCTGGAGGTGTTGGATTGATAACAGTAATTTGTTGAATTTTTTGGGGACTGATATGGGTACCTGGATGGCTAGGAACTTGAGCAGGGACAACAAGAACAGGGAGTGGAGGCTGAAGTTTGGTGTGATTTGTTGGCTGGTTTGGAAGGATAGGAACAATTTAATATTCAATGGGAAGTCCCTTTCTCCTTAGGGGATCTTCTCCCAAGCTTCTATTTTTTCTAATAATATCAGGGAGGCTAATAATTTGCTTTTTGTTGCTGGTCTTACTGTTTCAATTCAGGCAGATTTTCAGGTCAACTGGGTTCCTCTTTGGCCTGGCTGGGTAAAGGTTAACTGTAATGGATCCTATTTAGAAAATCTGGCTCGAGCATCTTGTGGGGGAGTGGTGAGGAATGAGGCAGGAGATTGGATCATAGGGTTCTCAAGGAATATTGTCCCTGAATCAGCTCTAATGGCAGAGTGTTGGGGTCTGCTAACTGGGCTTGAATGGGTGTGGGAGAAGAAGTTTAAGCAGGTCATCTTGGAAAGTGATTCCCTAGTAGCAGTCCAATTAGTTATAGAGGGATGTGTTATGTCCCATCCTTGCTGTGATATCATTAGCAGAATCAGGAACTTACTGAAGGAAGACTGGAGAGTGGAGGTTTGTCATGTGTACAAGGAAGGCAATCTTGTAGCAGATTGGTTGGTTACAAGAGGTAACAAACTGGTGGTGGATACCCAGTGGTATAGTGTAAGCCCTCTGGGTGTGTAGGACTTGTCTTAGATGACAAGAGGGGCAATATGTTGCCCAGGAGTCCTACTTTGTAGTTTTCTTGCTTTCTTCTTTATACAAAAAAAAATAAATACATTTACACTTTTATATTTGCTGATATTTTGAGTACATCAATTAGGGGGACAATGGAATTAGCCTATGGAGAACTTCCATCCTAAATTATAAAGGAAAAATTATATATATGATATTCCTTTTCTTTTTTTTCAATGTAATTCATACTGTTTTTCGTTGTTAATTTCTTATACAAGTTTTTAAAAACATTCGATAAGGAAAATGTTGAACTTCACCAATTTTATATTTACTAAATTCCACACAAACCGACCTGGCATATTTTAGAACTGATTTTGATTTTTATTATGTCAGTATAACTCATAATATAGAAGATCACCCTTTCATGAACTTAAAGATTATGAAATTGGGTTTTTTTACCACTGTGCCCTTTATGACTTAAAAAATTACTTTTTTGCCCCCGTATCAAAATATTTTACTTAAATGCCCCTGTATTTTCGAGTATGAACTTAGATACTCGAGTATTCTGGGATTTTTTGAACATATACCTGAGTATGGACCCATATACTTGAGTATATGTTGTTCCACGCCATATGTTCGAGTATCTGGGTCCATACTCGTGTATATGTTCAAAAAAAAAAAATATTACACAAATTTTTCAATGGGTAGCTCTCGAAAAGTTATGTGGAATAAAAAAAGACATCTAATTTGGACACCCGAGTTAAAAGTTATAGTTTTCCGAAGTTTTACTCTAAAATTTTCAAAATTTTGTAATACCAATAGGTTTTGTGATCCCCACAAAGCTCCTCTCAGGTTACTCGAGTCAAGTCCAATATATGACTATAGAAACTTGTTTGATTCAAAAAAAAGCGTGGGAAAAAATCTAACCAGTTGGGTGTCCGTATTTATCCGTAAAATCTCGTGGAAAAAATTTAACATCATATTTTTTGGATCAAACAAGTTTCTATAGTCATATACTTATAATATATGACTTGATTCGGGTAATCTGAGAATGAGTTTTATGGATATCACAAAACCTATTGACATTACAAAACTTTGGAAATTTTAGAGTAAAACTTCAGAAGACTATAACTTTTGACTCGGGAGTCCAAATCAAATGCTTTTTTTTATTTCACATAACTTTTCGAGAGCTACATGTTGGAAAATTCTCGTAAATTTTTGTTTGAACTTATACCCGGGTATGTACCTATATACTCGAGTATATTGCATGAAACAACACATACTCGAGTATCTGGGTCCATACTCGGGTATATAGGAGCATATAGGTAAAATATTTAGAAACGAGGGCATAATGATAATTTTTAATTGTAAAAAAGGGAAAAAAGCATACGAAATTAGGTGTCAAATTTGATGATATAAGACTTATATTTATGATAAAAGAGTACATGTGTTTGGATTTTATCTACACGATGTGGGACTTATTAAACAATATACATTCTAATATTTTAATACTTTTCCATAAGCTCTTGTGAATATATTATATGCGTCAAGTTTGCTACAGATATAGTCTACTTGGTGACTTTTAAGAGCCTTGATGAAAATATCTGCAAGTTGATCATAAGAGTTGACAAATGTTGTCTCAATCTCTCTAGACTAAATCTTTTCTCTTATGAAGTGACAAACAATTTCAATGTGTTTGGTCTTATGAAAAAATCGAGTTAGAAGATATGTGTAATGCTACCTGATTGTCATAGATCAATTTCAGAGGATGTTATTTACAAAGACTTATTTCTTTAATCAGTTATTTCAACCAGATAAACATATAGGTTGCAGCTCTAATTGCTTGATACTTAGCCTCTACACTTGACCTAACTATCATGGTTTGTTTCATACTTTTTCAAGAAATTAAATATCCCCCAAAGAGAACACAATAGCCTGAAAATGGATCGTTTGCATGAAGAAAAACCTACCTAATCAGCATCCAATGGCAGAGCGAAGACTTTTGGTGGGAGCGGGGCAAGATTATATGTATTATAAATTTATGATTAAAATAAAAAATACAATTGAACCAAAATACTCATAATATATAAATCACAATATAATATAATATAATATAAACATAAATACTAAAGTCAATTGGATTCACTATAAAATAAAACCAAATTTATTTAGTATAATATTGATATTGATATTTAGATAAATATCAAATATATTTCATACTGAATAAAAAATCAAATAAATTACTTTGTATACAATTGTCGAATCCTAATTCTATTCTTCTAATCTTATTTATTTGTTATATATTGTTATTTAAAATGAAATTAAATCCATTTAAAGTTGGATATAAAAAAACTAATTTTATCATGTTTAAATGTATTTTTTATCCAATTTGTAAACTCTACGTCAATTATTTTTATTTTATTTATTTAATTATTATATATTAATATTTAGATAGACATCAAATATATTTGAGATTGACTAGAAAGTAAAACCAACTATATTATG